AGCCAAAGGAGCATTAAGGGACACCCCTGACACAGGATGCATTATTGGCTAGGAAATTGACTTGATGGACGCTTAGATACAACCACCTTTTTATAACCTTGAACAAAAGGTTTACGGGAACGTGGCATCACTACTGTTTAAGCAAGAATGTTAAACTTGTATAATTTTCTTCACACTTGAATTGCGGACCTTTGAGTCCTTACTTATGTTTATGTTCCATGTTTATCTGGCCCTGCGTGGCTGTCTGATTTCAATTGTCATTAATGGAAAAATGGTTTCTCTGTGAATATCTGCATTACCTGCACCTGTCCTGTTAAGCTTTGACCATAGAGACCAATAAAAAATCTTATTTAAAAAAAAAAAAAGGAGACATACACTGGATATGAGTGATAAGATGGGTCGGGTTATGAGAACCATTTACTTCAATGCATGACCAATGAATTCTCAACTTGTTCTGTCATGCATGATATTAAAAGCTACTACATGCAGTATGTCCTTCTGGACTCTCTAGCAGGGACGCCACTAGATATTTTGGGGCCCCTAACACAGCTCAGAGTCTGGGCCCCGCCTCCAAATACCGCCCACTGGGTCCGCCTCCACATACCGCCCACTGGGTCCGCCTCCAAATACAGCCCACAGGAATACACACACACAGACACAAACACACACACTGATACAAAAGGACATAGATACATACTAACAGACACACATACTGAAACAGACATACACGCATACAGGCATACATACTGACACACACATACTGAGACATACACACAGGCATACATAGTGACAGACAGACACATACTAACATACATACAGACACACATGCATGAGGACATAAAGACACATACAGACACCGACATACATACATACACACACAAATATACATACACACATTCATACATACTGACAGACATACAGACACTGACAACCATACACACATACATTCATAATGGCATACAGACATACACAGACATACATTCATAATGGCATACAGACAAACATACATACATTCAGACTGACATACATGCATATTTACAGACATACATGCATACAGACATACGTTTATAATGATATGCAGACATACATTCATACTGACATACAGACATACATATATACATATATAATGACATACAGACATACATATATACATACAGACAGACATGCATGCATACATACAGACATACATACATAGACATACACACATACAGACATACACACAGACATGCATGCATACATAGACATACATACATACATAGACATACAGACATACATGCATACAGACAGACATACATGCATACAGACAGACATACATACATACAGACAGACATGCATACAGACAGACATGCATACAGACAGACAGAGACATGCATAAGGCATGCATACAGACATGCATAAGACATGCATACAGACAGACAGACATGCATACAGACAGACAGACATGCATACAGACAGACATACATGCATACAGACAGACAGGCATACAGACAGACAGGCATACATGCAGACATACATACAAGCATACAGACATGCATACAGAAAGACATACATGCATACAGACACACACACAGCTCATTTTCCAGCCACTCTCCTGTCTCTTACCTTTTCTTTGCAGGAGGGTGGCTGGGGATGATGGGAGTCGGCGTGGCTCCCTCTTCACTGCCTGGCTCTCCATCTTAACTGGCGCGCGCGCTCCTCCCGCGCGGAGTGAGCTGGGAGGAAGTGAGCACTTCCTCCCAGCAGAACTTGCGGCTGCTTTTTTTTTTTTTTTGTAAAGGGGCCCGATCGAGCTATACCACGGCCACAGTGCTGACCGGCCCCATCGGGTGGCCCTAAGTGTGTGGTTATGGTTATGGTTGTCACCCCCTGATGGCGGCCATGCTCTCTAGTGTTGGATATTGGAAGGGTGCTGGAGTTCCTGGAACAGGCTTTGGATAAGCTGGAATGCCAAAATCATCTGAAGTCTTACACTCACCACCCCCGAGATAGCACCAAGGCTCCATTCACTTAAAATGAATGAATTAATAACACAGTGGAAGGTGCATAAATACATCTTGTCATCCTCTTACATCAGTGTTTTTCAACCTTTTTTGGGCAAAGGCACACTTGTTTCATGAAAAAAATCACGAGGCACACCACCATTAGAAAATGTTAAAAAATTAAACTCTGTGCCTATATTGACTATATATATATAAAGTAATTCACTTGAATAGGAATCAAATAAACACCCATCTCCCTCCCTCCCTCCCTCCTTTCCCTGTCTCTCCCATCTCCCTCCTTCCTTTCCCTGTCTCTCCCATCTCCCTCCCTCCCTCCTTCCTTTCCCTGTCTCTCCCATCTCCCTCCTTCCTTTCCCTGTTACTCCCATCTCCCTCCTTCCTTTCCCTGTCTCTCCCATCTCCCTCCCTCCTTTCCCTGTCTCTCCCATCTCCCTCCCTCCTTTCCCTGTCTCTCCCATCTCCCTCCTTTCCCTGTCTCTCCCATCTCCCTCCCTTCCCTGTCTCTTCCATCTCCCTCCCTCCTTCCTTTCCCTGTCTCTCCCATCTCCCTCCGTCCTTCCTTTCCATGTCTCTCCCATCTCCCTCCCTCTCCTTTCCTGTGTCTCTCCTCACCCCCTTTCCCTGTGTCTCTCCCTCTCCCTCCCCTCCTTTCCTGTGTCTCTCCTCTCCCTCCCCCCCTTTCCTGTGTCTCTCCCTCTCCCTCCTTTCCTGTGTCTCTCCCCTCTCCTCCTTTCTGTCTCTCCCCTCTCCCTCCCCCTTTCCCTGTGTGTCTCCCCTCTCCCTCCCCCTTTCCTGTGTCTCTCCCTCTCCCTCTCCTCCCTCCTTTCCCTGTGTCTCTCCTCTCCCTCCCCTCCTTTCCCTCGCGTCCTCTCCCTCTCCTCCCCCTCCTTTCCTGTGTCTCTCCTCTGTCTCTCCCTCTCCCTCCCCCTTTCCTGTGTCTCTCCTCTCCCTCCTTTCCCTGTGTCTCTCCCCTCTCCCTCCCCCCTTTCCTTGTGTCTCTCCCCTCTCCCTCCCTCCCTTTCCCTGTGTCTCTCCCTCCCTCCCCCTGCCCCCAATTTACCTTAAAGAAGGCAAGGGGGCCGGCCGTGTTCCAGACTGGAGCCGCCGGACCGTGTGGCAGCTTCGCCGGTCCGGCGGCACTCCAGTCACTGCTGTTGCTGATGGAGGAGGAGCCTGTCTACCATGCTCCCTCGCGGTTCCGGAACCACGAGGGAGCATGGTAGACAGGCTCCTCCTCCTTCAGCCATCAGCAGCCAGTAACTGGAGTGCCGCCGGACCGGCAAAGCTGCCACCCGGCCCGGCGGCTCCAGTCTGGAACGCGGCCGGCCCCCTCTCAGTGTGCCACCGGACCGGCCACCCGGTGGCACATATGTGGCCTTGCAGCCCCAGGTGCCGTGGCCCACCGGGAAATTTCCGGTATCCCGGTGGGCCAGTCGGGCCCTGACCTCACCCAATTGTCTGGGATCTCTGCCCAAAACCATGCATAAGTCTTCCTCCTACCAAAGGTGTTTGGGCGTAGTAACCTTCAGAACTGTTTGGAAGGATGAAAGGAAGAGGTGTTAGTCTTTCCTCTGGTGGACTTGCTGGTTTGACCACTTCTCCAGGAGGTAGGTCTGTAGTATTCATGCCCTGGCCTAAAAGCCTTACAGTCTCTATGGGAAGGGTGCTCCCTATAAGAACGACATTTAAGTGGAGGTCTTCTTGGACGTCTATCTTACCATAACCTTCGACATAACCTTAATCATATCCGTAGAGGCTTGTAAGAGCCATTCACTGGCCAGTCTGACCTCCCGTAGGGAATCTGCAATATGTTGCCTTCTGACACCTTTGTCCAAATCTTCTTCTATGTCCAAGATCCATACTCTCATTGCTCTGGACATTGCCGAAATAGAAACTGCAGGGTGACATCCAGTACCAGCTGCTAAAAAACATTTAGAAATGTCAGCATCTATTCTTTTCTCCATAGGGTCTCTAAGGGAAGCATTGCAATCTATCGGGAGAATAGAACATTTAGCCACCTTGATAACTGAGGCATCATCCTTTGGGTTAGAAGTACAAAGTCTGGAGTCCTCCTCACGAATGGGGTATAACTTAGGCAGAAGGTTTTGCAGAGAAAGTCTCTTTTCTGGAGTCTTCCACTCATTACTTATGAGATCCTTAATGGACTTGTGTACCGGAAATGACGGTTTCCTTTTACTGAGATCCCCAAAGTGTTTGTCCGCTGCTGAGGTTTCTAGTACCTCATC